TCTTCTGTGTCTTCCAAAGCAATAAATTACACAAACAAAAAAAAGCACAGGTCACTCCCTTTGGCATTTTTCTTAATCAGAGAAGTTCATTTCTACTTCAGGAGATTTACAAAGCGGAAGTGTTTGAAAATCAGTTATTAGCAGCCCATCTTTCAGATGGCTAATATTAGCAGTGCTGTCAACAGAGGTTACAGAACCTGTTACAGAAACAAGGACTGAATTCCTTTCCTTGCCCCTCAGCCAGCTTGTGAGTCCACCAGACCATTACAAGTTCTAAATGAACAGTTCTGTGCTGCTATTTAAACCCTGAATATCTATGTGTTTCTTGGCCTGTTATAAGATTGTTGGTATTCAAGGTACACAGTAATAGTGAGGATGGTTATACATAAGGCTCTTCATGAATGGATCCTAGAGCAGACTTTCATAGAAGTTGCAAGCGTGAATTTGACAGCACTTACTTGAAGATCTGAAAGATGCGATGCAATATTTTATATAATCAGTCATTAGAAATATGTTTTATATTTTTTTTCTGATGATGTTCTGCCTAACAGAATATATTTATTGTACTGGTAAATCTGACGCATGAACAAAACTGAAAGTCCCCAAGGTGTTCTGAAATCATGAGCCGGGACTATAAGACTGGTTTAAATTAAAGAAATGATATGTACATATGATTATTTTCTCTCATTTTTTCAGGCCATATAGAACAGTAAAGTAATATTTTCAAGTTTTCTCTTCACGTACCAGTATTAAAAGTTTAAGTTTTTGGATGAAATCTGAGATTTCCCGTGCAAATAAGAATCCTGGGAACTGGAATTTTGAAGGGAAAGAAATGATTGCAAGACTTCGCAATTACATTTGTCCGTGGGCCATTCAGCCTTCCTGAAGAATATACTTCGCATGAGATGTGTTTTCAGCAGTGGTTACTCCTGGTTGTTTAGCAAAGTAAAATAAAAAAGGTAATTGTAAAATGATCCCCCTAACTTCCTACAATGAAGAACTTGTTTAGGCTTTGCAACCACACTACTATGTTCTATACCCCTTATATCTTTGGTTTCTATAAAACCCTGTGGTAGCAACTGTAGCCGTGCAGAAATTGTGTGAACAATTTCTTCTAATAAAGCGGACATTTTGCTGACCATAATGGTTTAGGGCACTTTGTCCATGCCTCTCCGTCGATAAGCAACTTCCATAATTTAAATACATGCTCTTTTTAAAAGTAGCACTTAGTGTTTGTACTAGTTACTTGATCATACCACTTGCTTTTGAACTCATCTTGTAATGAACAGTGACCCACTACTCTTTGTTCAAGTTGTCACCATTATGCATGGTTTTGGTCTTGCCTTCTCAGTTTTGACTGGTCTAACTCCTGCTTTAGCTCATACCTCTGGAATTTGGTCCTTAAGAGTCCCTTACTTCATGAAAGCATTAATGTTTATTGGTACTCAGTTGTATCCAACATAATTCCTCAAAAATCAATCATCCCTAAGGCACAGGCATTGCAACTTCAATCCCTTGTAAAGAATGTGATCAGTTGTAAAGGTATGCTAGCCAGGAAACTGTTTTTGTGGACCACAGTATTTTTTTGGGACTGGAAAGTGGCTGCAATTTCTTGCAGATAGATTCTGAAGTGACCCTATTCTGTTATTTTTATACTCCGTCTTTTCCTCATCCTCCAAAAATAGTCGGAAATAGTGTCAGCTACCAAGGTAGTAGCAAACATCAATAACTATTCGTCTCAGTGACTTGTGACAGAGGACTTGGGAGCCACTTAGTCAATACCCTAATGGAGATGCCTGTTAAAAATACACTGTTATCTGGCTGGTAGATAAAGAAGATAAAAGAGGAACGTACAATGGAAAATGTTAGAGAAATCAAAATGCCTGAAAGAATACACAGGAACTGAGGCAATAGGGAAGAAACCGAAAATTTTCAGCAAACCCCAAGCAGTTAAAGTCTCGAATGTCTGGCTGCAGTGCTGGTGCCACAGTCCTTGCAATTTTTTTCTGTTTTCATTCAGCGTACAAGTGAACTTATGATTTTTTTAGACTTTAAAAAATCATATAAGAAATAGGGGAAAGAAACAGTTAATTCTGCTGGGTTTTAACATGCCATTTTTATGGAGATCTACATTATGGAGGCAGAGATAGCAGGGAGGTGATGTCACTGTTATATTAGTCAGGGTCACTAAAGTGTAAACAACTGTGTTTTCTCCTCATCAGACCTCAAAAGCTTGGAATATTATTTGGAGGAAATAATATAGGGGAAATTACCTCAATTTCTGTCCCAAATATCTACCATCGAGTTTCCAAGACTCAGGTCTTTCCATTACTTGCTGGTCCTCTTGTCCAAACTGAACCTACACAGATATAAGACCTAGTAGACTCATTACTCTCTACACAGAAGCTCAGAAAGAAACCAAGTGATCTTCTTAAGATAATCATCTATTAGCTCTGAAACTTAGACATTCTCTCTCAGCCTCCAATCTTTCATATTATATTGCCAATGACTGCTGTTGCCCCTTTTCTTCCTGTCCAACTCCCATTCCTTCAATTGTTCAATTGTCCATCTTGTATTTCTTTGCCTTGCTGTTTTTTACATACCATTCTGCCAAAAGTTTCTATTTAATTTTTCCTTCTCCCTCCCCTCAGTTTCCTGTTCCCCACTTGCCTTCCAAAATTCCTTCATTTAAAGATCCTCTAAAGAAACTTTAAATGAGATATGTTATAAACTAAATAAAATTTCTGGAGATAGATCCAATAAATTCTCACAGCTGCCTCGGTTTGATTTGGCTGAATGTCTTTCCTTTTTTCCACTGTTTAAATAATGAGCAATCTGGATCTGAAGTTCAGTCTCAGAAGCTGAGTCTCTTAATGAAGTGATATAATGAGGCCAAAGTTCAAAATGGTGTACAGTCCTGATCAAAATGATGTTAAAATTTGAGATCCTTGTTTTCAATGACTGACAGCAGACATACATTCTGTATGGGTTTATTGTGTCTGCGTAGTAAGTACTGTGCTTCTGCAGTTCTGCATGAGGCTTCCACCACAACCAGGGGTCTGACTGGATCCAGTGTAATGTCAGCTATGTGGCAATGCAGTTACACCTCTGTAACTATTGCCTTTACATTTAGGTACCTCATTTTTATTAGATGTGGTTGAAAAAGGGAACCTTTTGTCACGAGATTTATCTCATTTTTTTACTATTTCTTTTTTTGATGGTAAACTTCTGAAAGTAAGAATTTGAGAGAAAATAAGAGAAAGTTGAGCAGTTCTTTGAGAACTTGAGTGAAGGATTAATGCACAGTTTTTCAGATCTTGCCACATGAGAAAGGTTTGAGGTCTTGCCTATTTTAGGCAGTAGCTGCAATAGTGGCCAGCAACTAAAAGCACACAAGAAATTAAGGAAAAATCCATTCAAGTGTACAATCTGATTCATGCATGGTGCAATAATATTAGCATTTAAAAATTATTTTTATTTGTATTTTGAATTTTTTTCTAAGTATGGGCACTTTTTTAGTTAATGAGCAGATGAAACTGCACACAAAAATTCTCCTTGTTCTAATTCTGCTGCTATGATGCACATTTTACAGCTATAGTTCTTAACTACAGCAAAACCGATACACGTTATTGTAGGAGTCTCTATTTGATTACCAAATCCCAGTCAGGCAGAGTCAGGTCACAAACCTCCAATGGACAGATATGTGTGAGTTTTTCAATCAAATCTGACAGAAATTAATTTGAGGCTAACATTTCCCTTTGAGATGTCTTCTGTGTGTGCTTGTGCACACAATACAAGCTTTTTTTCTGCTGCAAAGTCTTAAAGAGCACCTTGATTTTAAGGGAATAGTTTTTCCCTTGCTGAATAGTAATAGGATTTGATATTATATAGGACAAGATCTTTGAAACCTTGATTATCCCACTAGAGAAAATACTTGCATGTAAACAGGTTAAAGCCATAACATTCTTTTTTTTCTGACTCTGCAGACATTTATCTTGTGGCTTTATTCTGTTTCAGATATTCAATTTTATTTCTGTAGCATCAAATGCTAACATTATTCGGTTGCTATTGTTTTCTTTGATGTCTCGATAACAGGTGCTTATTGGATTGAGGCAAAACAGAAATAATAGCACATGCAGGTGGGTGGGTGAAGCTTTGGGAATAGACAGAAGATTACACAAGAGTGATATTCCATTGCCAGGGAAGTATCTAGATTCAAAATATAATCTAGATCAAACAGGCGTGCTATACACTTGCTTTGGCATCCAGGCCTCTTTCTGTGCTGACCACCAGAGTTGTGGACTATGCTATCTCTGTCCCCTCTCAAGAGCAGGGATGATCCTCACGGGAAGGTTTTTCCATTTTAGCGAGATGAAAAGAGAGGACCATGACCCTCTTCTTCTTGCTGCTACCCCCATCTTTTCCAAAACGTTAAAAAAAGACCCCAACTTGGAGCATAGTGGAATTGCTATGTATGTGATAGCAAAGAAGATTTGTGAGTCCCAGAAAAAAAGTAATTTTAAGGAGTAGAGAGATCATTCGTCTTACATAAATAAAGGTAAAGAGAGACAGTTTCCTTCACAAAGTGGAATACCTTGGGAAGGTAGTTGAAAGGGTGACTGTACTGGGTAAAAGGATCTGTACCCTTAAACAGATGGGTCACACCTTTAATGTCACCCTGTCATGCATCACCTTCATGAAGTGCTGTCTCAAAAGGAAAAGTTCTTATCCTCTGACAAGGTGAGCTTGGCTGGAGGCAGGAGACTGTGAGGGAAAACAGGGATCTCCCATCACAGTCTCCCGGCTCCCATCAACCTGTTATCCATCAGAAAATTTAGTGGCTCTATGTTTTCTTACTGATTATTGTGAAACAGGCTAATGACACTGATCACTGATAGTTTGATGTGGCTAGATGCAGAGAAATGCAGTAGCCCAAAGGCTAGCACACTGATGACTCAGAGGCTGGTAGTGATGAACTCTAATGGATTCTGAATTTCTAGATTCTTTCCAGGTGCTTCTCACTTCTTCTATAATGTATGAAACAGAGAATAAGAATTTCCAAGCAGATCAATAAAAGAGCAATATACAATGCTTTTAATGATGGGACTGGATTTTTCCAGATGTTATTCTAAACACACTGACTATCATTTGCTGTGATCCACTGCAGGAAGCAGAAAGACACCAAGGTAAATCCCTCCTTTTTTTTTTTTACTCAATCAGGCTTCGTGATGCTTGGGCCATATGAGTTTAACAGGGAGGAGCTGAGGGAGGGCAGGTGCTGGTGAAGAGTAGGGCTCTGACTTCTTAGCATGTGGTACTGCTAAGGGAACAGACCTGCAAATGAGTGAGATGGCAGCCTCACCATGCAGAAACATGGCACAGGAGATGGTTCTGTGAAGCCTGAGAGCAGAGCTCTTTAATCCATCCACAGAGATTCCTGGAGGCTGAAGCTTGTGGCCTCTCTTTTCAGCTCTCCAAAGAACTTAGGGAAGCTGTTATGCTAGATATTTTTAATGTGAGGAATGGAAAGAGAATGGGAAAAGACATCCAAGAAAAAATCTGCAAGGAATTTCAATAAATAATTTCGCAAAATTTTAACAGCAAGTGTGTAAAATCTAGTCTTTAAAGGCTTATAATACTTTAACCATGGCATCTCTAACAATCAGGAAGGTTTTCCTGAAATAAGCAGAGAGGGGTCATAATGCTGGTAAAGAGAATCTATGCTTTTAAAGTGATCTGCTATCCTTGACCTGTGAGGAAACTTGTACTGATATTAAGGGCCACTGGAAAAATTGCAATTTTTAAAGGGACTACTGAGAGGTAGTTTAGGTTCTAAATTTTAGGAAAGAGAATGAATGTGTGGTATTCTTATATCACATATATATTTTATATTCTTATAAAACCTAATGATTATATGTAATGGTAATTCTATGATGTGAATTCTTATCATTCTCCTTTCAGTGTTTTCATGTCAAGTACCGAAGCACTGTGCATTAAAATTGGCACAAGAAACTGACTGAAAATAAGAGTAGTGTACTTTTTGCCCAATCTGAAAATTCATAGTCTATAAACTTAAAGCAAAATAAAAATGAGAATGATTCTGAATTTTAGGATTCTTTCAATTTTATTATTGATGTGGCTAGCAGTATCAACTGCTTATACTTTTTTGTCTCCACCCAAATACATCTATTGAGATCTTAGAACCCCATTTCTCAGAAATAGTTCTATTTTGTGTATAAAGCAGCTTAAGAGAATAGGTTTACAGAGCAAGGCCATAAAGGTCTTCCAGGAGTAAGAACATGTGAAGATAGAACTCATTAAAATCACAGCATGATATGACTTCTACCAGTCACACTAATAAATAATCTAGAAATGTATGGACTTTATGCATGCTTTACTTTACCTTGAAAACTAATGTAGTTTAAGCATCCAGGGACACCATAGGAATTTGCTCCACTAAAGATGCTGAAAGCACTAAGCAAGGACAGGTCTGCACAAAACATGTACATTTGATATGCTGATATAGCCTGTGACATACAATATTAATAATAGTTCTCATTTTTACACTCTGTCCAACTTAATCCAGATCATTTGAAACTAAAAATGTTGATCCAAAATGCTTTGCACATGAATATGGGACTTAGTCTGCTTCTTTGTAGTCTCAGGAGAAGTCAACATAGCTTCATATATATTAAGAATGCTTTTCTGATTTACCCTAGTTCACGATTCTGTTGAAAATTACTTCCATTTACTCAATGCTCAGTTTTAAATGCTTTCTATAGCTTCATAGAACATATGTTGATACATACAATGCACTTTCATCCTGCTCTATTTTCTTCAGGCGTGGTTGGTTTTTGTCATCACTTCCCTCTTCTTAAATGCTTTTACCCGTTCACTGTCTAAATCCATCCATCCTTTAAAAATAACAGTGTTCTGTCCTAGCCAGGAGACTACACTCTCCACCTCTTTATTACTGGACTGCATTGTGCTGTTATCTTAGCTTGTTCACTTCATGGCTGCTGGCGCCTAATTTATTTGATGTGGTGAATCTCTCATTATAGGCTTATTAGCAACCATGTCAAGACAATGTGTAAAGTCCTCTTCTTTCAAGACTGATGAACACAAACAAGTAGAGAACAGAAACCATGAACAATCTTTATCATTTCACTGCCACATTAATACCTCTAACTCTAATTGACAGGGTAATTAAAGCCCAAAGATACCCCAAGAAAGCAGCCTGGGTAGCTGTGATCCTGCCATGTAAGTGACAGAGAACACATTCTGTGAAATAAGATCAAAATGGTTTCTCTGCGTTTTCTGTCACCAAAGCAGCTGTCCTGATGATTCACATCCTATTAAGTGTGCTTTGAGCATGTAATAATCAATTAAAAATAGTTGTTCTTTTAGATAACCATTTTGAATTTTGAAAGTGGGAATAGCTTCCTTGGGACAAAGACTCCTAAGGGCCCTCCTCCACAGGACCCCTCTCATTCACTCACCTCTCTCTTCTCAGATTTGTGACAGTTCAGGGTCAGGCCTCCATGGGAGATCTCTACAGCAGAAACACAATTTTATTTCTCTACTCTCTCCCAAGTCTCCTCCCATGTTTTTTTCCAAGAATTGGCACCTGTCTCTGCAGTTTCTCTGCAGTTGCTACCACATTGTTCCCACTTTTCATCCTCTTTCTAGCTCCTATTTTTTAATTAACCATCTCTTATATCACTTGGGTTGTCTGCTCTTCTGAGTTCCAACTGCAGGATCAGTGATTTTCCATTTCTGGACAGTGAAATCATAAGGGGACAGATGTATCAGCTGAATGCTTATACTAGACTAGACTAATTCAGCTGGAATGGATCTATGACTATCTAGTCCAGGTGCCTGCTCCATTCAGGGATGACCAAAAATTAAGGCATTGTATTAAGGGCATTGTCCAAATGCCTCTTCAGCACTGACTGGCATGGGGGGGACCTCTTCAGGAAGACTGTTTCCGGGATTTGACCACTCTCTTGGTAAAGAAATGTTTCCTAATGTCAAGTCCACTGGGCTTGATGGGATTCATCCCAGAATAGTGAAGGAGCTAGCAGATGTCACAGGAGGACCCCTTTCAATCATCTGCAAAGGGTCTTGGGAGTCTGGGGAGGTCCTCACTGACTGGTAGATAGCCAACACTATTCCAGTTTACAAGAAGAGCTTGAAGGAAGATCCAAAAACTACAGACCTGCTATAAAAAATTTCAGAGAAGATCATATTGTCTATTCATAAAAGACATTTAAAGAACAAATCATCAGGCAGAGTCAACATGGATTCACAAAGGGAAAGTCCTGTTTAAATTATTTAATATTCTTTGGCAATAAGGTCACCTGTATGGTGGATGAAGGGAAGGTAGTGGGTGTAGTTTTTCTGGATTTTATTAAGATTTTCAATACTGTCCCACAGTATCCACCTGGACGAGTTGTCCAGCTGTAGGATGAGCTGGAACACAGTGCACTGGGTGAAGAACTGGCTGAAGGGCACGGCTCAAAGTGTTGTAGTGAACAGGGAAGTATCTGTCAGGTGACCAGTTACCAGTGGTGTTCCTCAGGGCTCAATTCTACAGCCAGTTCTGTTCAATCTTTTTATCAGTGATCTGGAGGATGCAATTGAATGCATGGTTAGTAAGTTTGGTGATGATACTGAACTGGGAGGTGCTACTGACTCTCCTAGGGGACAAGAGGCCTTGCAGAGCATGGACTGGAGCATTGGACAATCACCAATGGCATGAAAATGAACAATAACAAATACCAGGTTCTCCACCTGGGATGAAGTAATGTCAGTGTCTTGGTTTGAGACAATTTGGAGGGGCAGAGACCTCAGACAGAAGTCTTTCTCCCTCAGATTCCATACCCCTGATTTCTCCAATAAAGAGAGAGAGATCAAATATGTTTGAATATAGGTGAAAAAATAACTCTTTACCAAGAAGAAATGCTAATAAAAATACTGATAAAACTGGGTTAAATCAACTGATAAGGAGAAACTTCCCAAGCCCTGCCCACTGGACCAAATCGAAATGGTGGCCGATCTCCCCCACTTGGAAAAAACACAGGTGGCCACAGCACAGAGACAAGATGGCCACCCTTCTGAGTGGTTTGCCTCCCCCATGCTTGGAAAACCTGGCAGGAACTGTTGGAGAGTCAGCACTGGAATGAAGCTGTGGTGCTGGTACAGGCAGTCAGATCAGGGCTGCAAATCCCCAGGTGACTGGAAGGACCTGCAAGACACCTGTTGGATCCAGTGATGAGACTTGATTGTTGCAATTTTGATGTTTGTTGGTTGAAGTGGTGGTTGCAATCCTGTCAAACTGGTGGGCAAGTCTGGATCTGTCGAGGTGGTGGTGGAAGCCCTGGGTGGTGAGCAAATTCCCATGTGGTGAGGGAAGAAAACCCAGTGTTGAGTAAAGTCCAAGTGTGGTCTTTTATTGGGCTTAGTTTAGTTGGGAACAGCCCCAATACCTCCCCTGGGGTGGTAAGTTCTTCACTGGATCACTGGGCATTTCAGAAGTCTTTGACACCTCCTAAGATGTTACAGCTGCCTGTTATGTCAGCACAGGTGGATCCATTACGGCCATCAGCAGAGATAAATATTTTCAGGCCATGTGAGTGTGAACTGTCCTGGTGCTTACCGCAGGGGAGTTATCATAGCTAAGTCATTCGTGTAAGACAAAGAAACACTACTCTGCCTAGCAGAATTTTGCTTCTCTCCTTATCTTGTTCAACATCCAGCTTGTAGCCTGAGGTGGTGGGTGTGCATGCCCTCAGCACTTGGGTGGTTACTTTGCACATGGTCAGCTTGCACCTTGGTTGTCTGAGTCATCAGCATTACAGTCTTTCACACCTGTGGATACATTCTTCTTCTAGGCTAATAGTACCATACTTATCTTAAGTTCCAGTCACGGTCCAAATTAGCAGGCATATTTGCAGAAAAGAGAAAAGGTAGGTACCAGAATTTTTGTGTAACCCAGGACAGCCAGACATGAGTCTAAACTCTGAAAGAAGTGGCTGGAAAGCAGCCATTGCAGAAAGGGGTGATAGTTGGTGGGTGGCTCAACAGGAGCCAGCAGTGTGTGCCCTGGCAGCCAAGGGCACAAACCACGTCCTGGGGTGCATCAAACAGAGCATCACTAGCCAGCCAAGAGAGGTGGTTATCCTGT